TTCTTAACCTGAGTCTTCATATTTAAAGCTTTTTTCTTGTTGACAATATATAGTTTTTTATGTTGTTTCTTCAGTCATTTTTGGCAGTCTCTGTCTTTTAATTGGAGTATTTAGACCATTCACATTGAAAGTAATTTTTGATATATTGGATTAATATCTATCATGTTTGTGACTGTTTTCTACTCATTGTATTTGCTCTTTGTTTTTTTCTCCCTGTTTTTCTGCCTTCTCTGGTTTTAATTTAGCATTTTATATGATTCTGTTTTATCTCTTCTGTTAAGACATCAATTGTACTTCTTTTTAATGTTTTTAGTAGTTGTCTGGAGTTTACAATATACATTTTATACTACTTCACCTGTAATACAGGTACCTTATAACAGAGTATTCCCAATTCCTTCCTCCCATCTCTAATCACATTGCTGTCATTCATTGCACTTATCTATATGCTGTAATCATCACGTGTTCTAATCTGGGATGTTTGTGTTCTTGGTCTGCTGCCAGGCTCCCATTCTGTGCTTCCCTTTACTGTCTCGTGGGTTGGATCCATTGGTTTCCAGTTTTCATGTCTTCCTCATTGCTGATTTGCATCCATGTTTTCTGCAATTCATCCTAATGTATTTTCCTAAGAGTATTTGGGTGTTGCTGAATATTATACATTCAATAAATAAATAAATAAGCAAACAAATAAATAAACTAGAACCACACTAGATGACTTAGAGATTTTTTCAAGGTACTAATATATAAGGCAAATTTGGTGCATAAAAAAGCATATAATACAGAAAAAGAAAATCATATAATATTATAATATAATATGATGACAAAAAGCTCTGTAAGTATGAGTAAGGTATAGATATATGTAGATAGAATTATATGCTTACCAGGAATTTAGGGAAGAATACATGCAAAGATATCAAAATGGATTATGTGGGAGCGGTGGGGACAGTTGTATGAATAGAAAGGAAGGAGGTATCTAGTTGGAAATAAGGAAAAAATAAAAAGTAAAATAGTGATTGCATGCATATTTAAGAGCATGTATAAAATTACATTTTAAAAGCTTTATATGTGTGGATTGGTATATACATAAAGAAAATTTTAGGAAAAGCACCCAAAATGGATGTTTGTATAGTAAAATTTCTCAGCCCTATGTGTCTGAAGTTATCCTGATTCGCTCTGGGTTTTGAAGGGCTGGCTCTACAGTCACTGTTATTGATGAGGTATCTCAAGCTATTCTTGCCATCATTCCTCCATACGTAACTGGTTTCTTGATGCTTTCTGGAAGCTTTTAAGTTCTTCTCTTTGTTTTTTAGGTGTTGTTATTTCACAGTTATCTGCCATGGTGATTCTTTGAAAATTCATTTTTCTAAGTACCTAATTGTGCCCTTTCAAAAAATACATGTCTTTCCACTCTGAGATATCCTCTTTTTCCCTGTCCAGCTGTCTTGACTCCAGTTATGAGGCTATCACTTACCTAAATTAATCCTTAATCTCTTCTATTTCTCTTGTTTACTTTTTTTTGCCATTTAATCTCTTTATGTTATTTTCCTCAGTTTTATTTTAGAACCATTTTAATAATTTTTTTATTTCTGAAATTATTTTTTAAAAATATCTAAGAGTACTTCATATTTCTCTGGTAGTTCTTTTTTCTTAGCATCATGGAGTGCAACATGTATTCTGAAATCTCTCTAAAAATATTGGTTTGGGGGATGTTTTCTCCTTTTTCTTATATTAGCTCTGTTTCTTCTAGGGTAACATTTTTCTCTTTTTTATGTTATTCTTTCATTCTGATATTGGAGAATTTCTTCAAATGTCTGTTGACTTGTGGTTATCTGTTCCTATCAAAGAAGAGGCTCCAGGGCCCACCCCATGGCTTAGTGGCTAAGTTCGGTGTACTCCACTTTGGTGGCCTGGTTGGTTCCCAGGCATGGACCTACACCACTCTCATCTGTCCGTGGCCATGCTGTGGAGACATCTCACGTATGAAAAGAGGAAGATTGGCAGCAGATGTTAGCTCAGGGCAAATCTTCCTCAGAAAAAAGAGAACCAAAAAAAAGAGACTCCAGAAATCAATCAATATGATTCACAAAATTAAAGACTAGAAAAGGAAAACGATAGGAAGATCTCAGCAGATACGTTAGATAAAATGCAACATCTGTTCATGGTAAAACTCACAACAAACTAGGAATAGACAGAAACTTCCTCAGTCTCATTAAAAATATACATATATATATATATATATATATATATACAAAAATGTAGAGAAAACCTTGTATTTAATGGTGATACTGAAAACAAGACAAAGAAGTCTGCTCTCACCACTTCTCTTCAACGTTGTATTTGAACTCATAGCCACTGCAATAAGACCAGAAAAAGAAATAATTGTTGGAAAGGAATAAATAAAAGAGTTTTATTTGCTTATGATATGATTGTTTTCTATAAAAGCCAAAGGAAATCTACAATATTTTACTAGAACTCACAGGTGAATTTAGGAAGGTTATGAATACATCGATAATATTTTTCCAAACCCATTCTATTTCCATACAGTAGTAAGAAGCAACTTAAAAATCAATACCATTTAAAGTAGCCTCAAAAACAATGTAATAACTAGGAAGAAGTTTAATGAAAGATGCACGTGACGTCTGTACTGACAACATAAACACTGAGAAAAACGACATAAAAGAGTAGACTCAGTATGGTTAAGATGTCTGTTCTCCCTGAATTTATCTATAGATTCAATAAAAACCCAATAAAAATCCAAAAGACTTTTCTTGTAGAAGTTGACAAATTGATTCCAAAAGATATATGGAGAACCAAAAGACTTAGAAAAGCAAAGACAATCTTTTCCTAATTGAGTTCAAGACTTTCTATAAGCTCTAGTTCTTAAACCAGTGTGCTATCAACACAAAGATAGATGAATAGATCAATGATATAGAACAGAAAATCCAGAAATAGACCCATTGCTTGTTGAATATTTTGCATACTTTCATTAATTTAGGATAGGTAAAGGTTTCTTAGAGAGTACACTAAAGTCATTAACCACAAGAAAAATTTTGATAGATTGAACTTTATCAAAATTAAAAATTTCTCCTCATCAAAAGACATGGTTAAAGAAATGAAAGGCAAGCCATGGATTGGGGGAAACTGTTCACAATATATACATCAAACAAAACACTTCTATTCATAACATGTAACAAGCTCCTACACATTAATAAGTATATAATTATATTATTACTATATTACATATAATTATTAATTATATATGATACATTATTATATAGTTATATATAATTATATTGTATAATTATGTAATAAATATAAATTAAATATATAAATATAAATATTTATAATTATAAATATATATAATTTATATATAAATATAAAATATTGTTATAATATATTATATAATATATTAATAGAGATATTTTATTCCATGTATGAAATCCAGTAACAGGCAAAATTAACATATGGTGCTAGAAAGGGCAGCAATGTTTGCCTTTGAGAGGCTGCCTGGCTCCAGGTAGTCACCTTGTGGATTAAGGAGTAGAAGATGCACTGTTCTGTTCTTCGTTTTTCAAATAACACATTAGTTTTCAGCATCCTGACTCCCTTAGAATCTCCACTGCCTCTTCAGAATTCCACAGGGCACATTGGTTGCTTTGTGACTCCTGGGAGCATCCTTCACCTACAATAGCAATTAGAGCTCCTTTGACCACTTTTTGTCTTATAGGTTTGGGTTGAAATCTCTCATCAACTCCTTGCCCCCTACCATTCTCTTTGTTATTGTAAACCCAGTTTCTTTATTAGCATTTTAGTGGGGTTTTTAACAAAAGAAAAGACAGACACTTCTTTGCAATCTGTAAAATTTAACCGGAAACTTTTTTTTAAATAGAATTCAACACAATAATATGACATTATTTCCTGATGCATGTTGGGTACTGGGAAGTGCCAATAATTCCCTTCTGGTTTGACAAAGAAATCTTACGAGTCTTCATCATATTTAGGAATACAAGATGTTGACTAAAACATTATTATCAGAGCAATAAACTGATAAACTAAGAACCAGAATTACAGACTCCGGTTTAAAATTACTTTCACAGGAAAGAGCAGCAATTTCTGAAGTCCAGATGCCTAAAAAGACTCGCTATATATGAGAATAGCACAGACAGATTTATGTTAACACAAAGCAGCAGTCCCAGGAGAAATAATTGATATTCTTGTGAAATTCTCCATGTACTACCATACCATATCATTATCAAGTCACATCTTATCACTTATGAACCAGTTTTTTTAAAAATTTTTTTATTACTTTTTCTCCCCAAACCCCCTCGGTACATAGTTCCACATTTTAGTTGTGGGGTCCTTCTAGTTGTGGCATGTGGGATCCCACCTCAACATGGCCTGACGAGCGGTGCCATTTCCGCACCCAGGATCTGAACCCTAGGTGAAACCCTAGGCTACCGAAGCAGAGCGCACGAACTTAACCACTAGGCCACTGGGCCGGCCCCTATGAACTAGTTTTGCAATGTGGGATGGTATTTCTCTTAACAGATACAAGTCATGGAGGGACACCTTGTTTTCATCTTTATGTGATTTATTTTTTCTTAGTTGTTAACTAAGATGCATTTTCAAGTTAAATCCTGTTATTATTACATTGTTTTTATTCCTCTGTGGATGGCTTTGCTCCATCTCGGTTTTGTACAGATTTTTAAAAAATGTTAATTAACAAACTATTCCAGATATGTTTAGAAGATATCTTTACAATGGCTTTGATTGGAACAAATGACTTTTTCAATGCTATATGTAAGTCTTTCTTAACGTCCATGCTTTCTTCTATTATCTATTTGCGTATTGCTTCAATTCCACTTATTCTGGTCTCTACTCAGGACCATTTATTTTATATACATTGGTTCTTCACAGTCTGTCCTTCATATATAAAATCCTATGGCCATCACAAACATCTGAAATCTTGATGACCATTTTTTCATGGTGTCTTTTGTCCCCAGGATGTCCACAGAATACGAGAACATGGAAGAGAGGCTTCTCTATGAGGCTATATTCAGGCACTTCAGAAGACATAAGGTGGAGATTTCAAGTGCAATAAAAAAACCATTTCCTTTCCTTGAGGGCCTCTGTGACCGTGAATTCATCACCAAAAAGATGTATGAAGTAAGTAAAGTTTGTTATGTCACAATCTGGTTAACCAGCCCCAGACTAAGTTATGCTTTGTTATCCTGGACCCAAACATCAGGGCACAGCTAGCCAACTGAGGAGCCTCCTATGACTGGGGGACCTTTTCAATTATTGCTGTAAGTGTTCGTGTATGTAAAAAGGGAGAGGAGAAGCAGGCATCACCAGAGACAGTCCTGCTTCTGAAGGAATGGTGCTCCATGGTGCCCACTGGAGTTGGGGTGAATAGCAGTGGAGATTGGCTGGATCTGAAGCAGGTGTGTCCCACAGACGTATAATGCCTTGCAGGAATGCACACAATATAGCATAAGCTAAGAATTAAAAGTAGTTTTAATTGATTAATAAATTTAGTGAATTGATTTAATGAAACAATAATTGATACAGCATTTCATTTCAATGAGCTTTGGTTTAAATGCTTTGACCTGAGAACATTAAAGCACACACAAAATTGATGTCTTCTTAGGACAAATTTGAAAATGGATACTTGCTGTATTTTGCCCAACAGTTTTCAGTTTTCTTCTCCTTTCTTTTCCTTTTGAATTTGGGTTATTTTAGCAATAGGTGTTGTTGGACATACAGAGATGCAAGTCTTCCCTTTGCGCTGTGAATATGCTTTTTCTATGGTCAAGTTCACAAAGGGGAGAACTGTCACCTGGCTTCCTGAGTTCTTCCACGCCAAGTCAGTTCAGAGCTTGTCCAATCAACAAAGCAGCTGCTCATCACCTGCTAAGTCTATTCCTAAAACATATGACCAAGTTCTTAAAGGGCCATGCAACATTTAACTTTGAACCCACTTTTGTTCTTCAGAATTGCTTCTTCTTACATCTAATGTAAATGAGTGTGAGAAGATCTTACTCACAAATGGGTATTTTTAAGGAGGAAGGATTTACTTGTTTCACTTAGTAGCCATACAAATATATAGAAATCCTAAAACTTTCCCTGAGAAGATACCTAGGTAGAGAAATTGGAGTACATTACCCATAAATTCACTTTCAAGGGCTCTTCTATAACTTGGAAGCCTGTATTTATATTTTCTCCATTCAATATTTTTTTAAGGATGCTCAGGATTCTTGTAGAAACCTGGTCCCTATACAAAGAGTGGTATACCATGTGCTCAGTGAACTGGAGAAGACTTTTGACCTGCCGCTTCTGGAAGCCTTGTTCAGCGAGGTCAACATGCAGGAGTACCCTGATTTACATGGCATTTATAAAAGCTTCGAAAAAGGTAATTAAGTTTATTAGTGACCTTTTGATGTCCAGTTTTTTTCCAACATGTATATATTAACCTCCTACCATGTGCTACACGTGGTGCTGGGCAGTGGGGATTTAGCAGTTTACAAAACACACACATCATGAGCCTTTTCAAATCTTAGGGCATAGTGGCTATGGCATGCAACACCCACCTGCAGGTCTGCTTAACTAGGCATTTAGGCTCACAGGACAACCAGAGCCACATGGCATCAGATTTACTTAGAAGGACAAATGACAGGAAACACAGCATCCCAACGGGGCAGTATCAGTTGTTCCTCTTCTTGGGGACCCCTTGCAGTGGCTAAGACAGCAGTCCACCCAGTTGTCTACTACCTGCCTCAAGTGACAGCTAACTGGTGAATGCAGAATCCACACTGGTTTAGTAGTACCATGCCCTTGGGAGTCACTATCTCATGTGACAACTCCAATAGCCATAACTCTTTGGGACCCCACCTTCTGTGGATGAGACAAGTTACAAGAGTTACCACCCTGAAGGAAGACCAAAGTATGGCTTATAGTCCATAGGTAGTCCCCCAGTTCACATGCAATTTACCAGTCATGGGTCATTTTTAACCCTAAACCCAGTGTTGACCTGGTAACACAGAAGAGAGGCCACCTTCATCAGGTTTCCAGAGTAATTACCGTTATTTATTTTGATACATGCTTTCCTGGCCATCTGAAAATTTTTTATGTGAGTAACAGCCTCATGATGTTTCCACTACACCTTTACCTTTTACGCTTGAGTAGCTCCTTTCTGCATGGGAAACATAGAGGCTCCCTTGTTGGGGGTTCTCTTTTCTGTCCCAGGGATGATGTGGGAACTTTACCATGAGGATCAGACCCACTGAGCTCTGAGTGACCTGAGGGTCGGAAATTCCTAACCGTGTAATTTTGAGGTGTTGGAAGATCTCTAATTGCTTTCTTCTCTCTTGCCTTCTCTCTTCAGTAATGTCAAACAATATATTTTCCCTGGAAAATGATGGAGAAGGGATGGTGGAGAGGCCTAATTACCATCTAAGCCTTGAACAAGGTGATTGCAACCTGATAAACACCCACTCTCATCTGCTACAAGGAAAAGGAAAAAAAGGAGATGGGGACTGAGCCCTGAGTGGAGATTGTGAATCAGGGAGACGTTGAAGGAGAATGGAGAAGACAGGAGGGTATTTGCATGAGCATCTAACCTGAGGCCAAATCCTGGAGGAGGAGCTCTGACAAGAGACTGTCAACAGGTCCAATGACCAAGACAAAGGAAGAGGAACCCAGTGTATCAGTAAACCAGATTTAAAGAGAATGACTACCTGGAAGTAATTTCAATTTAGAGAGGCCCCTGTAGGAGAAGATCAGTGTGAAGCTGTGAAGGGCTAGAACTCTGGGTCGAAGGTCAATTTCAAAGAGAAGACCCTTGTTTATGGCACAAGAAAGGACCAATTTAAATGTGGGGGATGTTGTTCAAGAACAGGAATATTCAAGGAAAATGGCAGTCATATAGAGAGAAGAGAAAAAGTAGTTGAGATGTGGAGAAGAGGATGTGGGCACTTTGACAGAGAGAGAGAGGAGGAAAGAGGGGAAATGACAGAGGAGAAAGGGTTAAAGGACACAATAAAAACAACCATATTATTCACATCTCAGTTGACTGAGCGTTTACTCTGGCACTTGTGGGTTCAGTGCTCATGGCTGCCGTTGGAGGATAGTATCACTTATGTGCCCATTATGCAGATAAGGAAGCTGAAGTCTGGAGACCATGTATGTAGTTGAGCTGGGGTCAAATGAGCAAGGATGAAACCAGGAATTCTGAACCCAGAGCCCGTGTTCTTAACCCTGTACACTACCCAGATAATCTAACAGAAAAGACAGAAATATGAAACAAAATAAGGAAATATATGTGGAGAGAAAAACATGGAAAAAAGAATACCAGAGCTGGAGGAAGTGGAGGAGAATCAGGCACTGAATCCTCATGGAAAGGCCAACAAGACAGAGTGAACAGATATGTAGAAGGAGGGTATGGAGTAAGAGGGGGTGAGGACAAGGCACCCAGACTTTGTAGGAACTGAGGTAAGGCTACCAGTCAGGGGCAGCTCTGGGGACAAAGGCAGGTTCACTATGGCTGTGGATAACAGGAAAAGCCATCAGCAGTTACCCAAGTGCCTCATAGAGGACACACAGTGAGAGGCCTGGCGGAGCCCTCTCAACCAGGGGTGCAGCTGACCCCAGACCCGACTCTGGGGGATGGAGTCTGACTGTAAGAGTTGGGTGGGATCTGCCAGGTCAGATGGTCTCTGTATTGACTGATGGGCTCTGTACTGATCGTATTGACCCCTAGAGGGGGTCTTCAACTCCTACTTTATAAAAAAGAGATTAGCAGAGAATGGTACAGCCCATACTTCAATTTCTGAAATAAACTTCTAATCTCTTTCCCCTAGGAACTGGTGAAAACTTGCATCAAATCCTGACCTGGCCCTGCACAGAATGCTCATCTTATAATGGTTTGTTCCTTTGACCGTTCTGTGATCCTTTGCTGTTCTTGATGCATTCTGGGATGTGCCGTGGTGGGGCCTGCTTCTGTGTATCACTGATTGCCCAGAATTGTCAGTCTTTGCCTCTGCAGTTTCTCCAAGGATTTAGATAACAGTCTTCACACTCTGGGTTGCCTGGGAGGGTCGCTGCATCTATACCCCTTAAACACTCTTGCTGCCAGCTCCCGACAACTCCAGGCCTGGACGTTTTGCCCATGTGCCTGGCTTCACAGTTCTGCTTCTGTCTTGCTTGAATCTGATCACTGCCTGGGTGCTTTGAGGTCTCATCCAGAGGTGGCCAGTGCTTGGCAAGAGTGGTGGGGGCAGGAGGAGATGAGCGTTCCTCATATGGACAGGGTACCTCCCAGGTTGGGTCCCTACATAGGACCATGGACACCATGTGCCTCCCATGCAAACCCTCTCCCGTCATCCCTGGACAGCAAGCCAGGAGCTGCCCTCCAAACACCAGACGGGTCACCACAAAAATGCTTTGTTACTTTAGCAACTACTAATCGCTGTTTACAACTCTTGACTCTCCTTAATCCATAACACTGTTAATAATTTATTTTTATAAATTATAATTTAATATGATTTAATATTATAATTTAATATAATTAAAATATGTTATTTTAAATATTATAATTTTAAGACATTAATCATAATAATTTAGTTTTCTGATCAGTCACTATATCCGATACAGTGACACAGGTAATATTTTATTTGATCTTCTCAAACACCTTAAAATAATGGTGTATCATCTCCATTTCTCAGAGAGGAAAGAATCAGCTTAGAGAGTTTGGTTCTTCGTGCAAGTTCACGCAACTGAGAGCTGGGACTGAACTCTGCTGTAAGGTTGTGTCAGAGCACAGAGTCTGGACGCCCACGACCCGGCTCCAGATTCTCCCTGTGCTCTGGGGGAAGTTACTTCCCTCTTTGTCCTTCAGTTTCATCTATAAAATGGATGAGTTAGTAGTACCTACTTCACAAGGTGACAGCTTTTAAACAGTTCTGTCATGTGAAGCATTCACAATCATGCCTGGTACTTCATCAGTGTTCTGTGAATTTTCTTATTATTGCTGTGTTTTAATTATCATCATAATTTATGTCTGGTGCCAGAGTCTAAACTTTTAACCATTACAGTAAACTTTGGGATTGTCTTCTCTCACAGATGTCTATTGTGGGTTTAATTATTCCCCAGGGTGTAGAAGCAGTGATAAAAGTAATACCAACCTCTGGCCCATGAAGGTCAACTGAGGGCCACAGTTTGCCTGCCCTTACAACGCACTAGTCTATAGTGAATTTCACGTCTTTATTCCATGACTCTGCTTTGGAAATGAGTAGCATGAAAGAGTCTCAGGGAACTTCCCGCACTGTGAAAGACTCTTATTATGTAGCTTCCAGTTGGGATATGTTGTTTAAGAAAAGCTATACTAAATTAGTAGTACTTTTTTATAAGAGAAAAAAAATCAGAGTGATTTTTGAAAGCATACTTGTACTTTTATCTAATCATGTTTATTGAGAAAGTTGTTAAAAAATTTTTTTAAAAACATTCCGGAATCCACATTCTCAGGCATTCATCTATTAGTGCAGCCGGTGGGAACAGGAAAAGGTGAGTGGATAGAATTGTGACTAGAAATGAGCAGAAGAGAAGGGATTCAGTACATGTATAGGGAGTGTAGGGAGGAAGCAATGAAATTATACCTCACAATGTGGTCTCGGGGCAGCTCTGCCTGGAAATGGAATCCCAGAGCATCTCAGTGATGGGGAACAATGAAAATAAAGACAGAAGTTTCAGCCTACAACCCAAATGATGCCCAAAAGCCACCATTAAGTGTGTCCAAGAGTCTGACCCAGCAGGGACGGCTGCAGTGACATGCACAGGTGATGGAAGGGCTATGTCTCATGCCAACCGCCCCAATGGGAGACTCCAAGGAGCTGTGGATGTGGCATAAAACATGCACCAGGGCTCATGTTCTATATTAAAACTTTGGGAATTATTTTTAAATCATACTTTACATAAATTACTATGTTCAGAAAAATCACATTAAATGAAAACAATGCAATCTACACTGAAATATATATTTATCCTTTCATACTCTATGGAGGCTGGTGGAACAGAGTGGGATGGGTTGGTGGAATCCATAAAGAGCAGAGGAGGTTCGCCATCGGGGAAGGGGGATGTGCTGGTCCTGGTTTCTTTCCCAGGAATTTATTCCTTACCCTCGTCTGCTCTGCTCTGCCCTCTATCTCTGGCCATTGACCCCTGCAGACATGCTGGCCAGCTCCCTCACTGCTGGGTTCCTGCTGGGTTCCTAACATGGAAGACGCTAGCAAGAGATTGGAGAGTGGGAGCAAGGGAGAAGCCAGATATTGCCCTGTCTCTAACTCCGGCAGCAATTCTGGCAGCGGCTGCCTCTCACCCATGACTCCAACTCTCAACAAGCAGTCCAGCCATGGCCCAGCTCCTACTCACCCAGTGACCCTGGCCCCTGGGCTCACCCTCAGTCCCTTCCATAGCTTCCTGTTGACAGTTCTTCTGGTTGCTGCATTCTTCCATTTGGACTTCTCAGCTCTCCCATCAACTGTATAACTAATCCCCTGGATTACATTCCCTCTACTTTAAAAGCTTAGGGTGATTTGTATTTTCCGGTTGGATCCTAATTGATGCAGGGGGAAAATAAAATAACTGTGAATCAAAACATGGTTTAGGTACAACCCTACCTGAAAATGGATTCTCAGAGCCCCTCTGTGAAACAGAACAGATAAGTGCAAAGAGAAAAGATACAATCAGTGACAAAAATGTTGCACTAGACAGCCAACAAGGAAATGAGCAATGTTCCCAGGAGTCTGAGCCATAGTGTCAGACTGACTGATTGTGTTTGATGCTGCGGGGAACAGAACTGGCAGGTGGAAGGACTTGGTGTGAAGGACAATGACACAGGAGAGGACTCTTGGTAATGTTGGGAATGCTTGAGATGAAGAAAATATGTAGAAAGACAAAATTGATACAGAAGAGGCATACAGAGGTCACATCAACAATAAACAGAGAATAGGAGAAAGTGGGAAAAGTAACAGAGAATGGATAAAACGAAAAATCAGGCTGAGGACTTAACTTACAACCCTCTTAACTTATTAGTTGGTTAGGCTAACAGCTGTAACAAATAAACCCAAAGAAGTCAATGACTCAAACACAATGGAATATTAATTTTTCTTCTCAAATGAACATTCCAAGAAGTTTTAGAAGGGGGACAGGTGGGGCTCTGTTTCTTAGAGTCATTCTGGAAAGCAGCCAAGTGGGAGATCTTCCTTCTTCAATATCAGACTTCTAAGGCTACCCTGGGAGAGAAGCAGACCTAAAAACAGATACAAAACAGATACAAAAACAATGACAGCACATCCATAAAGCTCTAAGTAAACGAAGAGAATCTTGTATGAAAAACAGAGGGCCAAGACAAGAAGAAATGGCTACTGGGAGTAAAACTGACCTACAGATCAAGTGAGTACAAAGGCAGATCATGGAGTTCTGAGCGAGGGACATTCTTGCCTTGTGTTATCAGAGCTTCCCAAGTTTTTGCTATCTTGATTCCTTTGTCATACACTGAGACCTTCAAGGGACATTTCCTCCTTCTGTAATCATAAGACAGGATGACTGTTCAGAGTCCAGGGAAGATGAGTTGTCCCAGGAGCCTGGAGCTCTGCATTGGGGAGTGGTCCTGATGAGAAGGGTAAGGGCTCCAGGACATTAGGAGTCTGAGTTCAGAGCTCTTGTTTGCTGCTACATTTTACTCGGAGCACACTCCACAGCCCAGGAGCCCATTCTCTGCATTTATCTCATGCGGCCATTTTGAGAAATGAAAAGAAAGAAATCATTATAAATTCAGGCTTAACAAGATGATTCTAGTTGAATGACAGTGACATTTTTACTACATGCTATCAAACATATTATTGCCCAAAGTATTGGATTATATAGTGATATCCACCCCTGCCCACCGTGTATTTTGTAGAAAGCAGAGAAAGTGGGGTAGTCTGTCATTGCTTGATTTTGTCACAAACTTGTTCAAAACTTAAAAGACTCTGATCATACTCTCTAGTTATTGACAGAAAGAAAAGCTTCTGGTTATTAACATCAAATTCAATTTATAGCTCTTGACAGATGATCCCCAATGTGACATTGGCCTTTATACTGACATTTGACAATATCTTCACAAATAAGATATCCTTTTATGTTTACAACTACCTAAAAAGTAGACCAGATAACTGTTGTTCTCGCCCATTCCACAGACGGGAAAACTCCTATACATAAATGCTTGAGGATCTTTTACATGCCTTGCATGGAAAGTCAGCAGAAGAGGGAGAGCTGACAGCTAGACTCCTAGCAACCATCCATACTCCTTTATTCAAAACGTTTGAAGCCAGATGTAAATTAGTAGTTTTATTGCTTTAGAAAGACAATGTGCTGTATATCCTGTATGTTATAAAACACCTGAAGACAGTCTAGGGCAGAATCCCATTCTCAAATATACTAAATTTGTGTTCTTGCAGGAAATAGTGTGAATTCACCTCAAGTGTGATAAAAAAGATTTTGAATGGATTCATGGCAACTCAAGTCCAGAGTCACTGCTAAACCAGTTAGCTGCATGCCTATGAGAAAACCCAGGTTTTCAAAACTCCTTTAACTTTGCAATTATGACTAAAGAAAGGTGGGTCTTTTGTCCACTGGGTAGTGATCTATTTCCTTTAAATGGGAAGAGACAGAAATGATTGTCTAGCATCTTTCTAATCCCTGGATGGAGGGGTGCTCTGGTCCACACGATTATTGAGGGCCGAGCTGATGGAGGCTCTGACCTCTTGAAAATGTTTCTTCCATGGTCCCCCTGGACAAGAAACAGAAATGGAAGCAGAAGAAGTACGTGCGTACGAGTAGAAAGGGTAAGAAGTCTAAGAAATGGCAACGAGAAGGAGTGCCTTCCATGGCAAATTATCTCCAGTCCTTGGGGATGGTTCCTGGAGCAGCCTTGAGCAAGTCAGATGGAGCCACGGGGTGGCCTGGTAGTAGGAACATTCCTACCCCTCCGACACAGACTTCTCTTTTTCAATTTTCCTTTTAAAGATTCCCTGCTGGGTTGGTTCCTAGGACACAGACTGAGACTGTAAAGAAATTTTGCTGCTTTTTGCAGGGATCAGCAGCAGCGACTTTTCAAAATCGAGTTTCAAGGAAGAGCCTCAGGAACCTTCTGTCTCAGAACTAAGCAGTGTGTCAGGTAAAGTAAATTAGGATGCCAGGTTTTGGCCTGTAAAATGTCAGTAATCTGACTTAAAAGCTATTGTTTCAGATGCATTTTATTCTGAGCGCCTTGACTACCTTGTGCCCAATTAATCCTGGGAAATCCTTTCAGCGTTTTAGAAAATTGAAGAAGTCAGGACATTATTATGAACTCATGTTTCACAGGATGAATCCTATTGATTAAATGTGTGTAATTATTTATTGCTGTCAAAGAAGAAATAAACAGCAAAATGATAGGATGTTTCTTAATACCTACTGTGATGCCCACTCACACTAAGATCTTCAATTTCTATTGGTTGACATTGATGTCATTTGTAAAGGTAAAAGCCTCAAAAGAAAACTGGTCCTGCTTTGTAACTATTGACAGATATAAAGCTCCAGATCAACCACTCTCAAACTTTAGTATAGATTTTAACAGATGTCCTTCACCATGTAGTAAGATTACATTGTTTTATTTCAGAGTGCTTTGGCAAATAAGTTCTTTTTTCATCATCAAAAAAATCCCTTAAGACAGACAGGCTAACAATCACTACCCCCATTTTGAGTTGAGGAAATAGAGGTACTAATATGCAAGGGTCGAAAAACTGAAGGAACAATAGAAACAAGCAGCTCAGATGTCTCATGGTGGGTGACTATTATATGTAATAGGCAGGAGCATAAGAGCTGTGTCACATGATCAAAGTTCAACGAGGAGATACAAGGAAACTGATATATTCATATGCAATGTATCAGTGTCTAATGCAAGAAAACTTGCATAGATATATAGATATATAGAGATATGGGTATAGATATAGGTATGGATCTTAATGGAGCAGGAAAAATGAAAATCACAAAGAAACAAAGAGAGTAGGAGTGCAGCCAGCTAAATGGTATATGAAATACCTAGAAAGACAGGGCAAAAAGGAATGAACACAGAAATAAAGAGGAACAGAGATTATGAGCAACACTGATGAAAAGAGAGAAAGCAACACAGGATACAAGAGAAATTGGGCAGAGAGAAGCTCACAGAATCAAAGCAATAAAGATAAGATGTATAAGGCAGAACAATAAGCTGAAAAGTGAGAATTAAGGAGAATGAGATGTAGTGAGATACAAAGAGACAGAGTGAACCTCTGTTGGATGTGAGGTGTAGTTAGGAGGGTGGATGTATTTTTCTCTGAGTTCATCTGAGCTGTGAACATAGTTCAGCAAGAACACATTGAAGTGTGTTCCCCAGTCACTGTCTATAGGCTGTCATTTCCTTTCAATGTTCTGTGAATTCAAAGCTCTTCAAATGAATAGAGGAAGAAAAAAGAATAGAGGAAAAAATCAAAAGAGATGCCAGCCTATTAGCATATGATGAAGAAGTCAATTATGACACAAGAAGCCAAATATGATATGATTATGAGAAGCCAATTATTAGTTCTTTGGTTTTCTGTCTGCACAGAAGAAAAGCTCTTCTTTGTTTTCCCTACCATTCTCTCACAACATTGCACATACATGCACACACAAATGAACACACACTCATATACACAGACAGAGACTTGTGCACAGACTCAGGCTGCTTTCAACAGGTTTGAGGGAGCCAAAAGAGAAAGAAGAGCTGGGCTCCTGAATGGAGGGCGGTGACACTGAGTGGATAATGTAAGGAGAAAGAATGGAGAAGGTAGGCTGAGGTCTCCAAATGAAAAGCTCTCTGAGTAAGTGTCAAGTTTTTCCAGGGGACATGGAATCCAGATATCCCAAGGCTGGGAAGAGTGATGATTTTCAAGATAGCTCTCAGAAGTTGTACCAGAAACATGGTAATAAATTCCATGACTGACTTACAGCCCTGCAATGTAGAAAGCTCCCAGAGAACTGGCAAATGTAATAATGGTCAATAGTGTGGTCAGTGTCAAAAGAGCAGGCATTTGGTGGTGATGAAAGTGTTAATCTGTGAGATGAAGAAAATATAGATAAAGTCAAAGATTGTAATTGTGAAAAAAAAACCCCCAAAGATCAAGATAAGATTGAAAGAAACAGACTAGAAGCAAAGAGAAAATAGAAAGGGAAGTGATAGTAGAAGGGAGATTACTTCAATACTAAAACTAGGTCCAGAGAGAGAAGCACAGACAATAGATGAGAATGAGATATGTACAAGGGGTAATAAATGGGGAGGAGTAAAGATGAGGCACAAAGAGAACTATGTAGAGAAAGAGTTAAAAGATGAGGAAAAAATGGTAAAGAGAGGGGACAGTGTAAAAGGGAGAGAGGAGAGAGATGGAGAAATTGTGGAATGTGAAAAATATCCTGAGACAAAAGCAACTTTGTCACAAGGTTGTTATTCACAGTAGCAGTGAGTTTTCAGGGTAAGTTGTCCCCAGGAGTCAAAGTGGCCCCTGTAACTCACCCAGATTACAAGAGACCTCACCCCAGGCATTTTATCCACTCTTATGCCTTCAATCACCATACACAACCTAATGGTTCCTAAACATGCATCTCCAGCTCAGCCCTGTCCTCCAAGAGACTAAACTCATTGTTTTAAGTGTCAGAAAGACCTCTGTCCACGATTCTGAAGGTCCTAGCCGTATCCATTTATGTGGATGTCTCCTAAAAGCTTCCAACTCAACACTTCTAAAACCAAGCACATCATCTTTTCCCCTAAAACCAGAATCTGCTCCTCCGGTGTTCCGTATCTCTAAAACACACTGTTAATTGTCTCATTCTTTCAAGTTGAAATTCTCAGAGTCATCCATGACACCACCATCTTCTCAATTAATATACCCTACCTGTCATCTAACTCCATCAATACTTCTTTTTAAGTGTCTCCAATCTGTCCATTTATCTCCATTCCCATTGCTCTCACTTTAATCCATGTCTAGATCACTTCTCACTTTAACTAGAGCTCCAGGCTCCTATTTGCCCTCCTTCTAACTTGCTCCCACCGGTTGTATTCTAAGTGATTTAGCTAAATTGATCTTTCAAAAATGCAAATATGTTTGTACTACTTCCTACGTAAAATACAATGCCTTTAAATTTCCTTTATTATTAAGTTGATTCTCCCTTGTGCGATCTCCAAAGCCAACTAGCTTGGGGCTCCTGCCTCTTTCTCCATCCTCATCACTGCCACTCACTCCCTCACTCTGTGTTCAGACATGCTAAACTCCTTTTGGTTACTTGCATTTGCTGAATGTAGACCTTTGCACATGCTTCTCCATCTATTTAGAACTATCGTCTTGGCTCCCTTCCTTCCTAATCTGGCTAACTTCTGCTTCCATCGTACATCCTCTGGAAGAGATCCCTCATCCCAAACAAGGCTAGTTCTTCCTGCCTTATGCCCGCCAGAGTATCCTGTACAATCTGTATCCTAACATTCTTCATGTTTCAATATATTCACTCATTTATGTGTCAACTCCTCATTTGTTCATAAGATTGACAAACACCAACACTTCAGTAGTCTTGTGCCCTACATTGTTATCAGCACCCATCTCAGCACCTGGCACATGAGAAAAGCTTGGCAAATACTTGTTGAGTGAGTGAAAAGAACTGTTAATTTTCTATATTCTAACATTTGGAAAATTACCCATAAAAGTTATTCTATTATTGTATTTATATGGAATATTCCACAAAAATTATTTTAAGAATTGAATTCTATATATACAAATATATATACATAAATATAATAAATAATATGTCTGGAAAAGAACAACATCACAAAGAATTACATACAAAATTCTATAAAAAATATTGTCATCTACAAGGAGAAGTAGGTCAAGAAAAAATAGAAAACAAAAATACATTATTTTGGCAAAAAGAAAAGGATAAAAGAGAAAATATGGATTGAAAGGAAAGGACAGAGGCAATGAGGAACAACAAAAGAGCAAGTTATTGCAGAGATAGAGCCGTCCTTTGTTGTAGGAGTGGGGATGGGAGAATCAGTAACGTTGGGAGAAAGGAGGATCATTGAAGGGCAGATAGCACAGCTGAAAGTTCTTTACAAATTACAATTGAAGAGCGGGGCTACCAGGACCTGAAAATGAGAATTGTTCCTGTGTCATGTGTTTTTCAAAAGGTGTACCAAGAGGCCAAGAAGCAAAGACTAAAAATAGCCATGCATCTGACATGATGGGTAAGGCCACCCAAGGATCTTGGGGTGGGGGTGGTTCAGCAGATATCACAGACTCTGGGTATGTGTGTGGTAGGTGGGCAGTTTTCAAGGAGAACATCAGGCAGCTCACCAACAGGGAATGGACCAGTTATGAAGGTGACAGTCACAGGTCCCCGGCTACAAGATGTCGGGAGTCTGAAATCAGAGCTCTCGTTTCCTGCTGTACTTGACTCTGAGCACACTTTCACAGGGAATGGATCCAGTCTATGCTAGAATCCCATTCTCTGCATTTTCTTGATCTGACCCTTTTGGGAACTAGAGGCAGGCAGGAGATCATTATAAAGTAACGTTTAACCAAATGGGCCCTGTTGATTATTATATGGATGAAGTAGTAGAAATACACTCTTAAAATGGCAGTGTCCAGTTTACTATCACCGTATTAATAACAAAGCCTTATTTTTACACAGTGATTTCCATCCTGGTCACACTCAATATTCTATGGAACCCAGGAAAGCCAAGTATACTTTTGCTAGTAGAGAGTAGTGTCATTTTGTCACAATGTTATCAAGGCCTCAAAAGACAACTGATTCTGCCTCTAAATTGTCAGAAGGAGGTACTTCAGATCAACTATTCTTAACCCAGCACGTATTTCTGGTGGATGTCCTCCAGCATGTCATTGGTTTATATAGTGATTTCTTGCAAACTTTTGCACATAAGATCTTATTTAATCCTCACAAAAATCTTAAGACCTAAACAGGGTAGGATACTTGTTCCTATCATTGAATAAACTGAAAAACATAGGTATGTATTTAACAGTGTTTTTCAAAGTTCCGTTGAGAAATAAAGGAAGACCCAGGGCCCACTCTGAAAGTAGTTCTCAATTCAGTAGATTTTCGGTTCCTTTAGAAGGAAGAGAGAAACAATAAATCAAACATCTTTGCAGACTCAAGCCTTCTGCAATAGTAATCATCCTCAGAGTTGTAACTTTTACTCATTCATTTCTGTTTCCTCACCACTACCTGTTGTTTTCTAGATACCGTGAATCCTGGAAACAACTTTACTTTAGGAAAATCCACGAGGCAAAGAAGTAAGAGTAAATAATATTTTACTTGCTTTTGATGTTAGAAATGAATTTTTTAATGCCAGACTTTCATCATCATTATTTACAATGCTGCAGTAGGCAGAATGATGGTCCCCCAAAAGTGTCCGTATCCCTGGAATCTGGAATCTGTTATCTTACACAGCAAAACAGACTTTACAGATGTAATTAAACTAGGGACCTTGAGATGGGGGAGATTATCCTGGATTATCTGGGTGGGCCCAATATACTCCCATAGGCCTTAAAAAGTGGAGAACCTGCCTTGGGTGTGGAGAGAGGAGAAATGACTAGGGAAGAATCATCAGAGAGATGAAATATTGTTGGCTCTGAAGATGGAGGAAGGGACTAGGGAGCGTGGGTGACCTTTAGAAGCAGAAAAAGCAAGGAAATTTATACTCCCCTACAGCCTCCAGAAAGGAATCAAGGTTGATTTTAGCCCTGTGAGACCCATGTCAGAATTCTTACTATAAGAGAAATTTGTGTTGTTTTAAGCTACTCAGTTTGTAGTAAATTGTTGTGGAAGCAATATAGGAATTCACATTCCTGAAAGTGTGGAAGTGTCTTTGGGCAGTGGACAGAGGCTGGAAGAGTCTTGAGTAGAATGATAGCAAAAGCCTAGATTGACCATTTTGTTAGTAGAAAGGTGGATGACAAAGACTGCTAGAGAGGACTCAGAAAGAGGTGAAGAATGAAGTAGAGAAAACTTATATTGTTTTAGAGAACACGTAAATCATCCTAAATAGTAGAAATACGGAGGCTGAAAGTGTGACTGGTGAGGGAGTGCTCAGAAATAGACATATTTTGGAAACTAGAGGAAGGGGATCTTAGTCATATAGTGACAAAGCTTGGCAAAATTCTGTCTTGCAGATATGTGGAAAGCAGAACTCTCTGGATATATATAGCTAAGGAGATTTCTAAGCAAAGCCATGAAAGTGCAGCTGGTTTCTTTTTGCTGCTTAGAGTAAAATGAGAGAGGAAAGAACTGCTAAACAAAAAGGAATCAGGAATTGATAATTTGGAAAATTCTTAGCCTATTCAGGTTACAAAAGATGCTGAAATTAGGAGATTCACTGTCAGGAAAGTATGCTCTGTAGAAGTGACCAAGATTGGGTTTTACAACTTTTTGCTAGTTCCGTGGAAATAGCAAGAGGTCAGAGTATTCAGTCACATAAAAGGTTCTTTGAGGAGATTAACTATGTGACTCATAGATCCCTTCAGCCAGCACACCAGAAGCCAAAAATAGATAAATGATTATATAGAAAAGATCTGTGGAGGAGCCTCTTGTCTGATAGAGCAAATCCCATGACAGACATGGGAGATCTACAAGATTCTTGAGAATTTTATGCCAACAGAAGCAGACATGCATGTCCTGATCCCTGGAATCTGGAATCTGTGACTTGACATGGCAAAAGAGACTTTAAGGATGTGATTAACTTAAGGCTCTTGAGATGAGGGGATTATCCTGGTTATCCAGGTGGCCCCAATCAAAACACATGGGTCCTTAAAATCAGAAAACCTTTCCCGCTGTAGAGAGATGGATATGTGACTATGAAATAATGATCAGAGAGATGCAATGGGACTGACTTTGAAGATGAAGGCAGGGGACAATGAGCCTAGAAACACGGGCAACCTTCAGAAGTTGGGAGAGGTAAAGAAATTATCCCCTACAGCCTCCAGAAAGGAAGAAGGTCCTGTGGACACCTCGGTTTTAGACTAGTGAGACCTGTGTCAGATTTCTGACCTTCAGAACTGTAAGATAATAAATTTGTGTTGTTTTAAGCCACAAAATGTATGGTAATTTATTACAACTGCAATAGAGAACTAGTATCTTTCATAAGACTAAAAAGAAAATAAAATCCCCTTTATATTATTAGATTACATATTTTAAAATAGAAATTTATATTTTCCCTTTCTTTTTTATTGTGTAAGTTTAAGGTGTACAGCTTTCTAATTTGACATCTGTATACGCTACAAAGTGATCGCCACCACAAGCCTAGTTACCATCCATCACCATACCATTGACTCTCTTGAGTCATTTCACCCATTCCCCAATCCCCTTCCGCTCTGGTAACCACTGATCTGTTCTCTGTGTCTATGAGTTTGTTTTTGTTTTATTTTGTTTGTTCATTTGTTTTGTTTCTAGATTCCACATATGAGTGAAATCATGTGATATTTGTCTTTCGCTGTCTAACTTATTTTGTTTAGCATAATGCCCTCAAGGTCAATCCATGTTGTCACAAATGGCACAATTTCATTCTTTTTTATAGCTAAGTAGTATTCCTGTGTGTGTGTGTGTGCGTGTATCTCACATCTTCTTTATCCATCACCCACTGATGGACACTTAGGTTGTTTCCATATCTTGGCTATTGTAAATAATGCTGCATTGAACATAGGGGTGCATAGATCTTTTTAAATTAGTGTTTTGGTGTTCTTTGGATAAATACCCAGAAGTGGAATTGATGGGTCGTATGGTAGTTCTATTTTTAATTTTTTGAAGAACCTCCGCACTGTATTCCAGTGGCTGCACCAATTTGCATTCCTACCAACAGTAAATGAGGGCTCTCTTTCTTCCATGTCCTCACTGACACTTATTTCTTGTCTTCATGATGATAGCCATTCTGACAGGTGTGAGATGATATCTCATTGTGGTTTTGATTTGCATTTGCCTGATAAGTGATGTTGAGCATCTTTTCATATGCCAGTTGGTCATTTGTATGTCTTCTTTGGAAAAATATCTATTCAGGTCCTCTGACCATTTTCTAATTGGATTGTTTGTCTTTTTTGATATTGAGTTGTATGAGTTCCTTATGTATTTTGGATATTAATCCCTTATCAGATATATCATTTGCAATTATCTTTTCCCATTCAGTAGGTTGCCTTTTCCTTTTGTTGATTATTTCCTTTGCTATGCAAAAGCTTTTTAGTTTGATGTAGTCCCATTGGTTCATTTTTTCTTTTGTCACCCTTGCCTGAGCAGACAGATCCAAAAAGCTATTGCTGAAACTGATATCAAAGAGCTTACTGCCTATGTTTTCTTCTAGGAGTTTTATGGTTTCAGGTCTTACATTCAAGTCTTTAATCCATTTTGGATTTGTTTTTTTATATGGTGTAATATAGTGGTCGAGTTTTATTCCTTTGTGTGCAGCTGTCCAGTTTTTCCCACACCATTTATTGAAGAGACTATGTTTTCCCCATTGTGTATTCTTGCCTTCATTGTCTGGGTTAATTTACCATATAATCATGGATTAATTTCTGGGTGCTCTATTCTGTTGTGTTGATCTGTATGTCTGTTTTTGAACCAATGCCATAGTGTTTTGGTTACTATAACTTTACAGTTTGAAATTAAGGAGAGTGATACCTCCAGCTTTGTTCTTCTTTCTCAAGATTGAGAAACTATTTTTTTTGTAGTTTCATACAAATTTTAAGATTATTTGTTCTAATTCTGTGAAAAAGGCCAATGATATTTTGATAGGGATTGCATTAAATCTGTAGATTGCTTTAGATAGTATGGACATTTTAACAATATTAATTCTTCTAATCCATGAGCATGATAGGTCTTTCCATTTATTTGTGTCATCTTCAATTTCTTTTATCAATGTCTTCTAGTTTTCAGAGTACAAGTCTTATACTTCCTTGGTTAAATTTATTCTTAGGTATTTTATTCTTTTTGAAGCAATTGCATGGGCTTGTTTTCTTAATTTCTCTTTATCATAGGTCAATATTAGTGTGTAGAAATGCAACTGATTTCTGTATATTAATTTTGTATCCTGCAACTTTACTGAATTCATTTATTAGTTCTAATAGTTTTTTGGTGGAGTCTTTAGAGTTTTCTATATATACTATCATGTCATCTGCAAATGGTTTTACTTCTTCCTTTTTACTTCTTCCTTATCAATTTAGATGCCTTTTATTTCTTTTTCTTGCCTAATTGCTATGGCTAAGACTTCCAATACTGCATTGAATAAAAGTGGTGAGAGTGGGCATCTTTGTCTTGTTCCTGATCTTGGAGGAAAAGCTTTCAGCTTTTCACCATTAAGCATGTTGTTAGCTATTGGTTTGTCATATATGGCCTTTATTATATTAAGGTACATTTCCTCTATGCTCACTTTGTTGAGAGCTTTTATCATAAATGGGTGTTGAATTTTGTTAAATGGTTTTTCTACATCTAATGAGATGACCATATGATTTTTACCCTTCATTTTGTAAATGTGGTGTATCATGTTGATTGATTTGCAGATGTTGAACCATCCTTGCTTCCCAAAATAAATCCTACTTGATTATGATGTGTAATCCTTTTAATCTATTGTTGAATTCAGTTTGCTAATATTTTGTTAAGGATTTTTGAATCTACCTTCATCAGGGATATTGCCCATAATTTTCTTTTTTTATAGTGTCTTTGGTTTGGTATCAGGGTAATACTGGCCTCATAAAATGAGTATGGAAAAGTTCCTTCTTTGATTTTCTGGAATAATTTTAGAAGAATAGGTATTAACTCTTTAGATATTTGGTAGAATTTACCTGTGAAGCCATCTGGTCCTAGACTTTTGTTTGTTGGAAGTTTTTTGGTTACTGATTCAATTTCTTTACTAGTAATTGGTCTATTCATATTTTCTATTTCTTCATGATTCAATCATAAAAGATTGTAAGTTTCTAGGAATTTATCCATTTCTTCTAGGTTGTCTCATTTATTGATGTATAATTGTTCATACTATTCTCTTATGATCTTTTGTATTTTTGTGGTATTGATTTTCACTTCTCTTTTATTTCTGATTTTATTTATTTAGGCCCTCTCCCTTTTTTTCTTGATAAATTTGGTTAAAAGTTTAATGATTTTGTTTATCTTTTCAAAGAACCAGTTCTTTGTTTCATTGACTTTTTTCTTTTTTTTTTCTTTTTAGTCTCTATTTCATTTATTTCCACTCTGATCTTAATTATTTTCTTCCTTCTATTCACTTTGGGCTTTTTTTGTTCCCTTTTTTCTGGTTACT